CTTGCGAGATAAGTTGAGCAACGACAAGGGAATTGTGTACCTAACCGATTCGCGGATTTGGGAAATGGATATTTATTTACGATCTGGATTCGACGAAAAACGGACGAAGTCGTGGATACTTTATTTTCGTAATTGTGAGGGAGGCGGTGCATGGATCGCGGATGATCCTGCGCTAAAATTTTTGCGGAAAATTTCGAAATCGTTCGTAGATCTCGATAAAGTTGTCTCTCGATTTGATCGATGACAGAGGTATATATTTGCGCGAGGAATAACGTCAGTTTAATCCCGAGGAAAACCTCTTGCTGAGATAGATTTGGATTTTTGCTTCTTCGTTTGCTCCTCGAGTGCAGAGTAATTTTTCGCAATCATGATCGGTCAGATATACCGAGAAAAACGAGGAATCTCGTGTTCGCGACTTGCATTCACGCTACGCTCTTTACCGCTTCAAGGTTGCAGCCAAGAATTGATGTGGCGAGTATAGGCCTTTTAGCGATTTTGCAACGAAATCCGCAACTATAGGTAGTTAGGTAACGTTCGTCTCGTGTTGTCTCTTCCTTTATAAAACCGCGGTGATAAATGACGTTCCTTAATTTTGAACAAGCATACTCGCGAAAAAGCATGATGAGAAATCGTAATTAACCCCGTTTCGTCGAAATCGTTTCGTTCAACCGTTAATTGTCACGCTACGAGGCTATTCCAAAATTCGCCATCCTCTTTCGCTTTCTTCTCCCTTCTTCCTCGACCTCTTTCTTTCGCTCCCCTTTTCTATTCTTTCGATTGTCAGCGGCGCGATCATTATTGAAAAGCCGCGCCGTGGATTATTTCCCCCGCAATAATGCTTCACGACCAATTAAAATGCGCTGTTGGATACTGATATACTGCAAATTAACCGACCTCGCGCGTTGCCGCTTAATCAGCATATTTATTGCTGCCACGCAATGAGAATCGTACGCGGGCGCAGATGCGATACGACGCAACCTCAATATTGCAAGTAGTACCCCCAACCTCATTCGAGATGCCTTTAATCCTCTCTCGAAGAAAGGGAGGCGAGGGGAGGCAGGATGACTCGGATACCGGGTCGTATAATGGGAAATCACCGGTGGCGAGTATAACTCGGTTATAAGTCATGTTGCTCCACTCTCCTGTTCCTATAAACGCTCGCGTAATATACAGCGTGCGCCTACGGAATTTAAACTTCCTCGCTTCTTCATCGCGCTCTTCATCGCGACTTTCCGACGCCCGTCGGGATCGATCTTTTTTCTCTCTTTCTCTCTCTCTCTTCCCCGCGTCCCTCATTATTTATAATACTTGGGTGCATTTGATATATATTCTTGCCGAAAAAACGGAGATAATTTTTTCCGAACTGAAATGTTGGCACGCTTGAGTAGTATAAGTTGTCGATTGTTAGGAAAAGAGAAACTACATATTATAATATGATATATATGATCCTCCTCTCTGTTCTCTTAAATTTTATCGTATTTTCTTTTTACAGAGAATGTATTAATTATTTGTAGGCTAGAGAGAGATAACGAACAATATTTCTGCGATTATCTCCTTATTTTCTTAACGTTCAAGGTTAATCGTGATTAGCGTTAATTTACGAGGTATGTAATGGGTCGCACGCGTAATTGGTAGACGCATAAATTATTTAGCGCGATAAAGATTTTCGCGAGGAATTGTAGATAAGATCGCCACGTGAGAGGGCATTAGCACCTCGTTGAGGGAATTGGATCTTTTTTCTCCTACCCCTTATTTTTAAGGGCTAATACTAATTGTGAGCGGCGTTAATTTACAGCGTAGGTGTCACGGTTCGTGAGATATATATTCCAATAAATCGTTGTACAATGCGGAGCGAAGTGCGGCCACGCCGGTGTCTAGCTCGATTTTTTTATTCGCCGCGGTATAGCCCGCGATATTAATTGTGAGGCTTGTTGATTTATACAAGCATCCATAAGCTCTGCGGGATGAAATACGCTGTGGATAAGCGTATGCAAGATTGCGGTACGGGATGAGAACGTAAAGACAAAGACCGAGCAAAACGTTCGTGCCCGACAATATGATAATTATATTTTGAATTCACAGATGTATCGAAAGGGTTAAAAAACGATTCATTATACGTTTATAACGTATCGATCGTTTGTAAATTGGGAATTTGTAAAAATTTGTAAAATGTATGTCGTTAGTTATATGCAAAAATGAATTAAATAATACTTTTAAACAAGAAGAAATTTTATGTTATTGAATTAATTATATTGAAATGTGTGTAAAAAAACAGATTTTACAAATGATTTTGCTTCATTTATGAATACATTATTTATATAGACTTTAATAAAAGTTAGATTGTAATAATATATTCGATTTACACAAAATGAAAAAATTTAGATAAAAAAGCTAATTCTTCAAATTCATTAAAGAATCTGATTTTGAATAAGTCTGAAATTCATGCACATTACTTAAAACTTTGTCATAATTTTTTCCTTCTATCAAGGAAAAAATTATGCTCACACAAAAGCTTAGATAAGAGATGCTTTTAGAGTTTTGTTCTTATTATCGGATAGTGATAGGTCTGAAATCAATGCGAAAAATACGTTTTTAAAAATTCGAACAAATTACTATCCGGTCTAGCCACATGTTTAATATACTGTTCATATTAATATGTGAATGCGTTCACTATTGTAACTTTGTGCGAAGGACTCTTTTCTAGGCGAGATTAGATACATACTTATAGACATATTGTATTGAATTCTTTGTAAATTAAGTATAACTATGTGTTCATACAAATAGGCTACCGCATACTTTCAAGCTTAGTTTCGAGTGATACGTATGAGTGTCCCTGAACCGATTCGACTTTCAGCTATAAATGTCGCAATATCTAAGCAATAGACTCACGTTGAAGAAATATTTAAATACTTTAATTTTTTTTTTAATATTTAGATAGATTTGTAAAAAATTTAAAAAAGATATCCTAGGAAATAATCTTCTTTGGAATGATAAATAAATTCGATATATAAATAAAATAGGCTACAAAGGGAGATTATTGATAAAACTAGAGCTTATCTGAAATCATTTCGTATATCTTACATTATAGTATCAGTGATTTTCAGTCGGGTGCTTGGACCATCGCATTTATCGCAGTCCGCGCCGCTTTTTGCCGAGACAAGTAGATAGTACAAGCAATTTTATCCACCGCTACTTACGGCGCTATCGCCCTCGCCGCAAAAATGCTACGATCCGAGCCAGGAATGTGTTAGCGGGGCGAAGATTGAGAAACTCCGAAGGGGCGAGGAGGTCGCGAAGGGGTCTGCCGGCGGGTCTCGATACCGGATTATCCGAGTAGAAAATGCAATGGAACGGGTAAAGTTTGCGTTCACGCATCGTTGGTCCCGCGTCCGAGGGCGAGGGAGGTACCGTAAAAACCGTCGACGCGGTGCAACACCGACGCGATTAGGTAACTGAAACCGTATCGAGACGTGCGCGCACGGAACTATGCACGCGTGCTACCATGGGTGGGTGTATCCGTGCAGTATGGTCGGATAATGCGCCGATAACACGGTCGACTTGCTGAACACTCTCGATCCAGATTCCACGAGGCAGCCTAGTTCCCGAGAGAGTCGTGCGAAATGATCGCATTCGCATTGATTTTTCTCTTCAGATTTTCAATGACTTCTCGCATTCTTGTCGGTGAAAATGTCGCGTCTACACCTCTTCCTACATTTTAAAATAATAGAGTGAAAACATGAAAAATCTGAAATTCTCAGACATTTCTTTTGTATCTTAAAAAGATAAGAAAATTTTCATGAGTAATGAAAAGCATTAGACGATAAAAAATCTTGTTTTAGGAAATTACTCTAAAAAATCTTTAAAATTTCTATTCTCTTTATCTGGAATTTTGAATAAAAATATCTGGAAAATCAGAGAATTTTTTCATAAAAAGCTTAGACAAATATCCTGAATAATTCATATATAAACAGTTTAGCAAAAATTCTTTGAGTTTGAATTTCAAATTTCTTCTCGAAAGCTTTAGACAGGTTTCGCAAACGATGTTTCTCTTAAGTAAGGACGGCGTGAGTGCCGTAGTGAGTATTATACGACTTCGTGTGAGACGATCGTTTAGACGTCAAAGATGATTTTGAAACGACGCGGCGCGGCACGACTTAAAATTATTAAGTCGCCTTGCGTGATCGGACACGACAGTTTAACGATCCTCCTAGGGCGCAAACGAAGCAGAAACTTAGTTCCGACGATTGATCGTCGTGACCAACAAGACCGTCGCGTCGTTGGATAAATTAAGGCATAACAGGTAAACGGCTCGTTAACGATACCTCGATGGCCGTTATCGTCGGTTGGCTCGCCGCCAAATTAAGAATCATATGGCTCTCGGTGCCTCATCTAAGCGCGGGTCCGCGAGATTATCCAATGGCGTCGTATTACACTCGCCAATCTAACTCAATCCGGAAGAAAAGCTGCCAGGAGGCCCGTTCACAATCAATCTTTGTCAAAAGCGTCTTAGTAATGTGTGGATGATAATATGCGAGAAAGCACGCAGCTTTAAACTCCCCGCAGCTAAGAACGATATTCGTTGGAAAATGCGGCATGCCAACGGGAAGAAATGTTACGAATTAACTCACGAGAAAAATATCACTCTCTAATCTCGAAGCAAATCTAAGATTAATTAGATGATTGTAACAAGCGAAAAGTATTTGGAAATATTTCTTGCTATAAAAAGATACATGACACTATAATAAGTTATATCTTTATTTTATTAACAGTTATTGATTAACAAAGATTGATTAACTTGCTTTGCATTTTCGTGTATCTATAATTGATAGAGAGCTGAATATATTTGACATTGAATACAAGTGATAGAAATGTAGCGCATATAACGGTGAAAGAAAGATTCCTTGCATATTATCAAAATGAAATTTAAATATTGCGTTACATTAAGCAATTCTAAATAATCTGAATTGTCTTAATCTCTTTTTCTTGTGTTTTTCTCTCAGAAGCTGACAACATTCGGAACAAGTGCGGAAAAAGAGAGGGAACACGACGACATCATCGGTGAGTCGAATCATTAATGTTTTTTATTGAGTCGTCGATGTTCGATTAATTTCCAATCTATTTTAATCTTTTTTTTTTCGTTACTCTTGATCGTCGATTACTTCCTATTATATTATCTCTTGAAAAGTATAAATTTCATGTTCATTATAAACTATTAAACAAATATAAATATAATTCTTATTCCATCTTCTTTTTTAAGAAATACAAGAAAAAATTATAAACGTAATGTGTATGTGAAACCTATAATTATATTTTATTATTCTACTCGTTTGTAATATCCGCGAAAAACATTATTATTGTCGAGATAAAAGAAGTCATTATGAAACGTTGCGCTTTCTCTTTTTTTATTTTATTTATTTTAATTATTATTAATTACATAATGACGTATTATTCGAGAATAGTCTAAATATATCTCTGTAGAAAAAAAGGATATATGAATACGTATCCGACAGATTAGTTATAGCGTTATGGAAAGTGGCTCGTTACTTCCGGAATTAATGGATCGTAAAAAATTTCCAATCGAATAATGTTTTCCCTTCTTTGAAAGTGATCGCGCAAAGCGGGGGCGATTCATAAAGTTGTTATCGCAAAAGTTATACGCATGAAATTAAATTCTTACTGGATGATGATTAGAATAGATTGAAATTTAATGCAACATAAAAAAATAAAGTATATAGATTTATATATAGTTTGACATTTATAATCTATATATTTTGGAAAAATTTCTTTTTCTCGAGTATTTTGTTATATCGATTGAAAATTATTAAATTAGAAAAAAGAAATTTTTTTTTATAAATGAATTTCTTTTTATAATTTATATCGTTGTATAAATTATTTAACATTAAATGATTAAATATATAATAGCATTTTGAATTATAATATCTAAAAATAAAAACGTATAAAAAGATGATCATTCGCTTCGGTGAATTTGTAATGTCATTTATGTGATCATCATAACCTTCACCCATGAACTTCTTTCAAACTCGACAAGGTTATTATCAATTGTGATTCTCCCGATAAGGGAGATCTTAAAAGACGTACTCGGTCCGGTTTAATCGAGAGATTTAAAGAAGAGACGAAATATATAAAATTAAAATTTATTATTTCTTTAACATGTGTTAAAGTAGCTTTTGCTTATATTTACATAAATTTATTTGAAATTAATTAACAATATTTTCAAATAGTGACACGCATAAATATAATCGAAACTTTGAATATATTCAAATTAGAGCTAAATTAGCTAATTTTCGAGGAAATGCTTAAAACTCTTCGTTATAATATACAGGATGAGTTTTATTGCTTGTGTCAATCTTTTTATCATGCAGGAGATTACCGACTACATAATAAATTGATCGGTACATAAATGTCAATTATTTGGATCGACCTTATCGAAGACCCGAATATAATGTGTACAATTAAAGCAAATTAAAAACCGAAATTATATAGTATGAATTTATTATTATTATTATTATTAAAGCTACATATTTAGTATTATTATTATTATTATACACATTATATTCGGGTCTTCGATACGATCGATCCAAATAATTGACATTTATGTACCGATCAATTTATTATGCAGTCGGTAATCTCCTGCATGATAAAAAGATTGACACAAGCAATAAAATTCACCCTGTATAATAAGCAATATGATAAAATTGCGTCTTATAAACGTAATTTTTTTCATCGCCAAGATTGCATTCGGATCCTCTAATTTTTTCACGCGCCGAATGGCGTGAACTTATGAGCGTTGAAAATCGCGACTGACCTGTGTGCCAGATCTTTTTTCCTCGCGCTTCTTCGAAGCCAGCCCCAGTCGACCGACTGTTCCCGTCGACTGTACCGGCGGCCATGCATCGCCGATGAGAATATGACCCCGGCACGTATAGCTCGAGTCTCGAAGTAAACTACATAGGCGTTGTGCGCGTCTCTCTCTCTTTCTCTCGACTCGACCAGATAAGTCGGTGGTCGTGCGAGTCGGTGTCGTCGGCGCGGTGCTTCGTGTGGCGTAGGTGATGGCGGTGCCTTGCTTGGTGATGGTGGGAGTACCGCAAGGGTCAATCCACGGTCCACCATTATATTCCCTCGACGAAGTCGTAGCATACGGGGACCTCGGAGCGGGTTCAGAGCCACGACGACGACGACGGCGACGGCGACGGCGACGGCGACATTCGAACGCTTAATGGCTGGAATTTGTCTGACCGGCAAGTACACTGACAGCTAGTCGGCAGAGTTAGTGACTCCACGTTAGCTCGGATTAGAGAAGGACAGATGTTTAGAATAATAGGCAGGATTGATGCAATATTAGAAATATCAACTACAAAATCATAATCATGCTCACATGATTTTATGTGAAAGTAAATTAAAATCCATAAGGATTAATTAATAAGTTATACACGTGTGTGCATCTCTCTCTCTCTCTCTCTCTTTCTACATTATTAACGAAATTCCTAAAAAATTAAAATTAATATTGATTAAAAATCTCTGCTACTTAAATCGCTAAGTGAATTCGATTTTGCACAGTAAAACATTATACATACGCGCGTAAAATATTTAATTTCTAATTATTTTAGATATGTCTATGCAGGCATTTTCCATCCTGAAAAACATCCTCCCGTCTTGTTAAAGTTCTTCTGCCTTACCGCATCGCGATCATTACTCTAACCATTTAGTGTTAATCAATATCCATCATCTACACAGTTAGGATTTTAATTATCTAATTAGTGAGATTGTTAATGACGGAATGATCGGTAGTTCGTGCGGCTATCTTTTTGTATCTATGTGTACGCGAACGGGTCGCCGTCCACCAAATGCAGCTTTGACCTTTAAAGAGGGGTGGAATGTATCGTTTGCAAAAATGGCCACACGAAGAAATGACTCTATCGTAATTAAACCATTGACGTTGGAGGTACCGTAAGGGTCAATCCACGGTCAAACATCATATTCTTCGGTTAGAAGCGTGGCTTTAGGAGCGGGCTCGTATAACCGCAACACAACGTTCGACGCTTAATGGTCGGAATTTGTCTGAATGGCAGGTAACACTGACAGGCACTCGGTTTATACTCGGTGAGTGGAGGATATATCAGCTACAGAAACCCGCGGTATCCAGAAGGTTCTCCCGTAATTCAAGGCTCGGCCAGGTCACCGATTAACGTATCGATCATTAGACGATGCCGATCGAGGTGACTTTTTCCCGCGACCCAGCCAGCCGCCACGATCGCTTTAAAGTTCAAATTGGAGCCTAAATAACGAGACAGAGGCTTGCCTTCTTTTCCTCTCTCCTCTTTATCTCCGAGCGTTACGGGGCAAAGACAAACGATAATACGGAAGTTAGTGAAGTTTTCCACGATAGATATATTTAGCAAACAGATAAATATTCTTCATTTAAAAGTTAAATAATTCTTTTTCTATCCAATTTAATTTTATCATAGATACATTATAATTTTTATAATTTTTTTATAATTTTTGAAGAAAGTAATAATGAATATCTTACAAATAATAATTAATAATTAATATTATGTATCTTGATAAATATTTCATTTTCTTTTTATTTTATTAAGATAATAGAAGAGATATTTTTTATTTAAACTAATCCAATTTTGTATATTCACACACTAACTGATAATGGTTCGTGCAAGTGAAAGAAAGTATTGAAATTTTAAATCATATTATATTTATATGAAAATCACCAAGATAATCGAATGGAAATTGTTCGATTTAACAATCGGAATTTATGCTCGATTGAGCAAGTACACGAGTTACTAGGAAAGACAGGAAGACAGGAAGTTAAACAATTTATGTTGAAAAAAACTGGCGAGACGCGCAAAAACAATAATCAAATAACTGGCAGTTTATTTAAAATTTGTGCAATTCCACTTTCGCTGCTCATTAATGATTGCAGCCAATTATTGAGCGACATTAATCGGTTAAGACTATTTCCCTAAGGAGAAAACGGCTCAAATCGAATAAATTGATTTGTAACATGAAATCTATTGCATCCAATAGAACATGGGAACAAATTGCACTTTCGATATATTTTGTGATAAATATCAAATCGATTTGAGAAGAGAGAAAGGAAGAGAAAGAGAGAGATTAAATATATATGAAAAATCGATAAATGAAAATTTTTTAAAGGTCTCGGCATATGAAATTCAGATAAACTTAAAATTTATAAATTCCTTCCATTCAACGCATTTCTTATTGTCTTATTTTTCGATCAAATTAATTTAATCTGAAAAATATATAAAAGATATAAGAATATAAACATTAGAAATATATTTTTATTACTTCCTTTCAAGGACTAATCTTCTTCTATGCCGATGTAATTTACCTTCATACATTTCTCTCCATCGATCAATGCAATCAAATTGTACCATTGTACCATAAATAGATCGATCAAATTGTAGCGGAAACGTCAAATACAAGGATGCGTGACAAATTTCATTCGCGGCGTCGAATCAGTCGGCGATTCTTCCGCCTGTCCGCAATCAGGAAAATACGACTTCTCGAACCAGGTATGTGTATACGTTGACCGATCGGCTCAATCGGCGTGTTAGTTGTGTGCGATGCCTTTTTCGGCGAACTGTGAATGTAGCCTGAGGTCTGACATTCCCCCTTTCCTCGTAGTCCTCCGCTGGCCGGTTCGTCCGGGGTCACCGACGAGAGGTCACGTCGCTCGCATGGCATCAGTGACTTTTTCATTTTTATCTCCCTTCTTCTTCCTTCTCCTGTCTCGCTCCTTCTCGATAACCGCATAGGCACGTGCGCGGGAAGGCTGCTGTCTTATTCGAAGAAAGAAGTCGCTGTCGCATTTTTTGCGGCGAATTTTTAAAATTCTCACGAATCTGACGAAATGTATTTTTTATTACGAATCTATAAAATTAGAAAAAAAATTAAAATATTAAAAAGTCTTCTTTTTAGACACTTTTTAATAGCTTTTGATTTTTTTTTAATTTTGGCATAATTTTGGCGTTATTTAACATTTATTTCAAATGGATTTT